AGAGAGAGAGAGAGAGAGAGAGAGAGAGAGAGAGAGAGAGAGAGAGAGAGAGAGGAGGGGAGGAAGGCAGGGGGCGCGGGCGGTCTGCAGTGGAACTGAGCGGTAGAGCGGGCGCGGGTCTTCCGCCAACGCGCCAGTGCGCGGCTGAGGAGGCGGCCACGACAATAGGACACGTGCATGCGGTCGGCGGAGGAGGTGGGTGCGCAGAGTCTTTCCCGATGAGGAAATAACCGTTCCGATAAGGACATAATTAATTACTATTACCTGATAAGGAAAATCTACCATTTCTTGATATGTATTCCATTTGGAATTGACCTCTTTTCTGACAAGCCAAACTCCTATTCTTACTCCGCAAATTCCAGTTCCACTTCTCCCACCCACTCTGTTCTCTCCCTCTTTTGTCGTTTTCCCCACCCACTCTGTTCTCTCCCTCTCTTGTCGTTTTCCGCTCCGTTGTCGGTAGCCGGCGGCCGTTATCGCGGATTTCCACTTTGCGGCGCACCGCTTTCTCTCTTCAACCTCCTCCTATGCCGTCTTGGTGCTTCTCCGTCTCTCTCTCCCTCTCTCTCTCCCTCTCCCTCCCCCTCTCCCTCTCTCTCTCTCTCTCTCTCTCCTTGGGTCTCTGAGGGATAGAACCCCCTCTCTCCTCATCCTTGTCTTCTATCTGTGACCTTGCTCTCGTTCTACTCTCTCTCTCTCTCTCTCTCTCTCTTCTCTCTCTTACTCCCTCTTCTCTCTCTCTTCTCTCTCTCTTCTTTCTTCTCTCTTCTTTCTCTCCTCTCCTCTCCTCTCCTCTCCTCTCCTCTCCTCTCTCCTCTCTCTTCTCTCTCTCTCTGTGACCTGAAGGTGGTCGCTGACCACTTCGCATTCGCTGACGATTTGGCGCGAGCGATTTGGCGGGAGCGATTTGGCGGGAGCGATTTGGCGGGAGCGAGGGATGGGGAAAAGACCAAGCGGTCGGGATATGACCAATCATTCATCATATCCATATTTTTATTTTAGTATTATATATTTTTATTTTAGTATTATTTACCCAAACTGGTGTGGGCATACTCACACTCTAGGACACTCTTTGTACTCAGGTCTGGACGTGATTGGTGTCACATTCATCCACGACGGGCCGTAATCGCAGTCAGATACATTTAAGAAAGTGCTATCGTCTTCACCGGAATAGAACGCCCGGTCATTATCACTGCATCTGGACCTGAAAATGCGGCAAATACACAGCTGTAAGGGCCGGGCGTTGTGTTCCGGTGAAGACGGGTAGTGTGAGGACACGCTTTTTTCTTTGGATCCAATCTTTTTTTAATCTTATGCAATCCTAATCCAAATTCTTATTCAATTCTTTTTTTTTTTTCCCGAAATCTTTATTTAATCTTTATCCAAATTCTTATTCAATTCTTTTTTTTTCCGAAATCTTTATTTAATCTTTATTTAATCTTTATTTAATCTTATTCAATTTTTAATCTAATTTTAATCCCATTCTTATAGCCAATCCCCATCTAATTTTAGGGGAGGGGGTTATATACTGTAAAAATTTGCGCGCTGCAGGCGTCGCGCTGGACGGGGAACAGGATCTGGGAAATGGGCTGCTGCCTTGTCGCGCTGGGCGGGGAAGAAGAAGAATCCGCAAAAGCGCGGGAGGGGGCGGGTGGGGGGGGGGCGGGGGGGCGTGCCCCGCGGCACCCCCGTGCGCTCTCAACTGGGGGGAGAGGATTGGGGAAGAGCCGCGGGAGACGCGCGAAGGGGGAGCCCCCCGCGCGCGGGAAGACAAGCGCTTGGCGATAATTGCCGCGGCGTTGGCGCGCGGCTCCGCGGGCGCGGAAGCACTGGAACTCCGGGTGGAATTGGCCGAGGAAACACTCGCGCAGGCGCGCGCGCGGGGTCTGCGGGGTCTGCGGGGTGAGGACAATGTGTGGGCAAGGGCCGCAAACGCGTGGGCGTGGTTGTCTGCGGCGCAATCCCGCCCCAAGAGTCCGCCCTCCTCGTCTTCCCCCCTCCCCCCACCCTCCACCGGCTCCCCCGCTTCCTCTTCCTCTCCCCCGCTCTTCCC